CTTGTGTCTTAGTGTTTCTCTGTGTGTCAGTGTCTCTCCCTGTGTCTCAATGTCTTCCTGTGTCTCAGTGTCTCTCCCTGTGCCTCAGTGTCTCTCTGTGTTTCAGTATCTCCCTGTGTGTCCAGTATCTGTTTTTGTGTCTCGGTATCTCTCGCTGGGTCTCAATGTCTCTCATTGTGTCTCTGTGTCTCAATGTCTCTCCCTGTGCTTCAATGTATCTCCCTGTGGCTCAATATATCTCCCTGTGTCTCAGTGTCTCCTTGTGTTTCTCTGTGTGTCAGTGTCTCTCCCTGTGTCTCAATGTCTCCCTGTGTCTCAGTGTCTGTCCCTGTGTCTCAGTGTCTCTCTGTGTCCCTCCCTTCCCCCCCCAACCCCAGCTCGTGTCTGAAATGCTGTACTCTGTCCAGTGCCTTGGGACGTCCTCCTGACGTGAAAGGCGCTATTACAAATGTAATCTTGTTGTTGTTGTTGTTGTGTCTTGGTATCTCTCGGTAGCTTTTAATATGGAATCCTGTAGCTCAGCGGTTAGAGAATGCACTTTGCAAGTGAGAGACCTGGGTTCGATTCCTGGCAGGGTGAAACCTTGGACACGTTTCCTTACTCCACGTGCCTGATAATAATTCCTCAAGAAAAAATATAAATAAAATAATAATTTGATCACTCAATCCACAACTGTTTGTGGGACACTGCTGTGCGCAATTGGCTGCCGTGTTTCGCCCACAAATATACAGTCAATTCACCTTACAGTATATTCTGTGAAGCACTTTGGGACGTCCTCCCGACGTGAAAAGCGCTATATCAAATGCAAGGATTATTATTATTATTATTATTATCTAGAAGACGTGAAAAGCGCTATATCAAATGCAAGGATTATTATTATTATTAATGTCTCTCTTTGTGTCACTGTATCTCTCTCTGTGTCTCAGTCCTTCTCTGTATCTTGGTGTTGTTCTCTGTGTCTCTGTTTCTTTCTCTGTGTCTTAGTGTCGTTCTCTGTGTCTCAGTCTCTCTCTGTGTCTCAGTCTCTCTCTGTGTCTTGCAGTCTCTCTGTGCCTCAGTGTCTCTCTGTGCCTCAGTGTCTCTCTGTGCCTCAGTGTCTCTGTCTGTCTCATTTTCTCTCTGTGTCTCAGTGTCTCACTGTGTCTGAGTGTATCTCTGTGTCTCAGTGACTCTCTTTGTGTCTCAGTGTTTTTGTGTCTCGGTGTCTTTCTCTGTGTCTCGGAGTCTCTCTGTGTCTCCGAGTTACCGTGAAGCAAATCCCATGACACCACTGTGAATGCAAAGAGGACAAAATAAAAATGCTGTGGTGTTCATCGCTACAAAGCTCCTCCTTGTAAAGTGAAGATCACAGATTTCTCTGCATTGTATGAATCTGTATAAAGTTTCACCCACAAAAATATACAATTACTCCACTTTACAGTATACTCTATGAAGCGCTTTGACACGTATCGAAGACGTGATAAGGGGCTATATGAAATGCAAGGATTAAAGCAAATTATTTAGATACTTACTGTTTTAAAGCTTTCTAATTGACATCTAAGCCATCTAACTTCTGATACACCAGACCTCTTGGTAGAGAGCTGGTGTATCTTCAACATACTTAGATTGTTTTGGACTTCTTAATGCGCTGTCACTGAAGAATATTTTTTCTCCTGCAATCTACTTAGCAAGGATTTATCGATCTTGTTTTTTTCCCCCCTTCATAGAGAATTACTGATCCATTTTGGAAAATCAGATTTTCACACCTTCCACGAGACTGTGCAGAGTCCAGTTCCCAGGGGGCTACCTTGGAAGTTGACTTTGACAAGAAATCCCTTGGTAATAGCATTCAACAGAATATGGTCTCATTGCTGTTATACATTTTGCAAGGTGGTAAAAATAAATTTGTTTCTGTGCATTATGTGAGAAGTGGTCTGGTTGTGAATGTTGATTTTGTCTGAATAACAGGTCCATCAAAAGGGATTTATTTACTTCCAATTATATGTCTAAATTGATGCGTTTTTTTCAAAACTTTTTATTGAAATGGGTGGTTGTGAGATGCAAGCAAAGTGCTGGAACTTACATTGCAGGGTGGGTTTATCAGGCTTGTGTTAATGTGTAACTTTGGGATGGGTGCTATCTTTGTAAATGCAGTGATGGTCAAAGGAAGGATGAATAGAGGAACTGCAGTGAGAGGACAGCGTGAGGATATTATAGCTTCAAAATGGCGTGCTACCTAGGTAATGAAGTGATTCAGCCGGCTTGGACAGAGGATTGCCATTTGAACTGTGCTGTGTTACCGAGAGATAGACAAATAGCTCAGCAGAAAGAATATTGAGCTTGGTGGCACTGGGTGCAGAAAGGAAATGTCGACTGCATGAGGTGTTCTCTGCAGGAGTAGTTCGAGAATACTTTATCACATCTCCGACGAGAGCATGGCGTGGACTGTAAGTATCTGGCGTACCACTAATGTGCCTAAAGCCAGGGTCAGGTTAGGTTCGCATGGAACGTTTGATGCATCATAAGATGACTGGGAGATCAGTGGGCACAGCCAAAGCCTGAGTTTCCTTAGATTCCTGGATTTTGCATTTTCTCCTCTGTGTGCAAGTTGATCTGGTTTTAATCTGCCTGCGTCGGTAGCTTCCATTTATTGTTGTTTTCTGACGTGCTCGATTTTGTGGCTATGGCTGACACGCTCTGCTTCCCTCTATCTTTTATTCAGAGGGCAACTGTGCGGATGGTACCTTCGTCAATTGGCTGTGGTCATGTTATTCCGAAATATCATGTTATCAAATATTAAAAGTGAATTTCTCACGGGGAAAAATAAAGGGCAAAAATAAACAGTGGGTGCAAATGCAGCTTCGGAGAGTGAGCCAAAGAGAGTGAAAGCGAGAGAGAAAGTGTGTCTAAGATTGTAGCCGTATTCTGCTTGTGTAGAGCTTGCTGGTACAGTATAGCTCGCTGAAGACTGTTAACTATTCTGTGGTAGAAGTGACATGACTGGACAGTGAGGAAGTCAGCGTGGACATGCAACAAAGGGATTTGGTGCACTAAAGGTTAATTTAATGATCTCTGGTTGTAGAAAAGCAGCTTTGGAGCAGTGAGCGCCACTGCACATACTATAACATTCCTCCAAGCCTTTCTGTGCAGTGATGTACACAAGGCAGCACAAGGTGTCATTTCCCAAACTCTGATGTTGAATTAAAGACCGTAGTCTAATTGGATCTGGAACTATTTTGCAGAACTGTAATGTCAACCTAAGTAGTAATTTTTAGTTAGTGATTAACAGTGCAAAAAAAAGGCAAGCTGTCACATTGGTTGTAAAGCTAGAGATTGTGATGAAAGATGATAGCTGAGATCTCATCCTTTCCACTTGTTTAGGATTGTCAGAATGAGGAATGTCAGCATTATGAAAGCTCAGCCCTGCTCTTGATATGATAAAACGCTTCACAAACAGCCTTCCTCTATGTGTGGAGCTGCATTTTATTTTCCATTTTTGTGTTGCATGTGAGAAATTAATTTGTTTCCAGCGTGGCCTCAGCTCAGCCCCCTATTTCTTTTGTTGCCTTGCAAGTTGCCCGTTCCCATAAGCTTAATGCTTGCTGGAAATTGCATTGTTTAATGACAGCATGTTAAAATCATGAATCCTTTCCAGCTACCCCGTGAGGTTTCAAACAGCCAACAGACTGTAAAGAATAAATAATAAAAAAGTATTGATTATTTTGATGACTGTGAGATTCAATTAAGTATTAATTTTGCCCTCCAGTGGACCTATCAAGGTATTCAAAAGGGAGGATTTGGTGCAGCTAAATGTGCATTGAGTGCATCAGTCTTAAATTGAGGAAAATGTGTTTACCTTTTGCAAGACCAGTGCATTGATGCACTGAGTCTGATATTTAAGTGCTGTGCAAATTAAGCCCTGATGGCAGTGACATTGTTTGCAGTGATATTAGTATTGACTAAAGGAGTACATTTGATGACAGCTTAAACTATTTTTATTGATTAACATTTTCATAGATTATCATGTGTCATATCAAATACCGTTTCTAGAAATGAATACATTAAAACCCGCAGGTCCATCGACCAATGTGAGGAGTGGACACAGGGAACATGTTATCCAACCTATCTGCACGCCGGTCACCTGTTCTCCACATACATCCATTTAGGCATAAACTTTGCAATAAATAGCAGAAGGGTAGCTCGGGGAGTTTAGTTCTTTCCAATTCTCCTCAGTGAAGATGGACTTGTCAGTTTACAAGAACAGCATTAATCATCAAAAGGTAATTCTCAGACAGTTTAATGTGAAACAGCTGACTCACTTTGTCCGCTGATTGTGACATTCAAAAAACTATTTGATCCAGGAATAGATACCTCGAGAGTCCTTGTTATTAATATTTTTATTGATATTATCATTATTATTACGATTATTTTAAAGGGAGCATCTGTAAAATTGTCAGGAATATATAGTTTCACATTGATTTAAATGGTAAAATGCTTTGTAACACTCATTTGTCCATATGAAATACTAAGTATGAAATACTAAGTATTTTTCAGTTTCTGTTCAAAGCAATGGATTGTATTTAATTGACTGCAATGTTGATTCCTTCTAAAGGCTGTGCTTTAGATTGCTCTCTGTAGAGAGAGGAAAGCCTTTTTCTGTGTGAGAAAGTTCTGTGTTGGATAAAGTGATTTACATAAGTGGTTCTTGATGTAGCTAATGACAAAGTCTCATTTTCAAATGCATTAGGGAACTTTTTAAAAGAAAAAAATAGAAATAGTGAACATTTTAGGTGGCGCTGTTTCTTGCTTAAGCTTCTGTTGCAAAGAGTTTTTTTTTGACAAAGCAAATCTAATCCCTCCCATGCTAGTAGACCTTTAATAGGGTGGGAGTAATGGAAAACTCATTGAATCTGTAATAGCTCTTCACTTGACTGCAACCAGCAATAGCAGCAGGAGCTGCCTGGAACTCAGATAAGGGAGAGTGTACACCAAAGCTAACCCTGCATCGTTTTCTCTCCCAGGATCCTATGATTTCTGGACAACAACTCAGCAAACCACTGCTGTCCCTCCGAGCTGAAATGAATGCAGAATCGAGAGGTGAGGACAAGGCGGCCACTTCAGACAATGAGCTAAATGAGTCTCTGCTTGTGCCTGTGGAATCAAATGACAGCGAAGACTCTCCCAGCAAGCTCTTTGGTAAGTGTGTTTCGGTATTTGATTTGAATGCTCCCTTGCTGAGAAAAGGATCCGTTTTTCTCTCTCTCTCTCTCTCTGTTCCCATGTCGTCTTTGCTGCTGAAAAAATAGCAGAACAAATCCTTATGTACATCGGTATAGTATTTTCTATGTAGAGCAAAACGAGTGTTGTTTTTTAACATGACCACAAATACAACCGAGCTGTATAACAATTAATTGTAACTTTTCACCAACTCTCACCAACTGCTTGTACATCAGACAAGGCACCTTACATGATTCATAATTGTATTCCTTAAAAGAGCTCTCTCTTTTCTCTCTCTCTCTCTCTCTCTGTTGAGGAGGGATGTGGGCCAGAGCACGAGTGCATCACTTTTGCTGCAGTGATGTTTTTGTGGGGTGCTAAGACGCCACTTGCGTCCTCACCCCAAATGATTGAGAGTCAAATAGGAAAGTGTTTGTCAAAGACTCCTGGAGACTCTGCAATGGGATTTCTGAATGGCCTTTGGTGTTTTTCAGTATAAAACTTCTGAACTTTATCTTCCCAGTTTTGAGGCTCAGTTGGGTCTATTGCACGATATTTCATAAGGGGGTCCCTTTGCAAGTAATTTTGGTTTTGGCGGAAACAAAGGGGTTAACTGCTGTGTGCCAAAAGTGTGCTGATGGTTTTCAGTACTGTGTGAATGAATGTAGAAAAATCCTTTCCTAAACAACAACAACAGAAGTGTTTCACTGATGATGCCACCATGCCCTGTATTAGTGAGTTAGCTGCACATTGTGACAAGAAAGGGAACAAGTTTGCAATGTTGCTGTTTTGTCAAACATGCTCCTGATACCGTTGACATTTGCACCATATATATTTCATATATGTTACATGCAGAAAGAACTAAACACTTCAAATTTGTATTTCTGAAGTATATTTCCCTTTCTTTTTTTGTGGTCAAAATTCTTGAGTTTCCATTTGATGTGTTCTTGTCAGAGGCGGGTAAACCTGGATTATTTAGCACTGTCAGAGACTGGAGTTTTCTTTGATTAAAAACCCTGCTGCTATATGATTTGAGATTAATAATACATCATAGAGCTATACATCAAGAGAAGTGAGTGAAAATTGAAGAGAATCTCCAGGATAGTCTGTCTTCACTTTTTCTCCACTGTTGGACATGTTTTCTTAAACATGTGAGTCTGTGTGCTAGGTCCAGGACAGGGGAGACTCATGCAGGTAGATTTGCAAAGTCCCAGTTTAACAACACCTGTTTGGATTTTCCCGAAGCTAAACACAGTGAGGCTGTTGAAGAGCTTATTCTCAGATGTCAAAGTGACAGTGAGCGAGCTGGGTAAAGTGTCACGCTGTGAGGTTAATCAATTTTTCAGAATATCCAAAGGCATGAATATCGAAAGAATAGACGTAGATAGTAGCAGATGTAATTCAGCTGAGTGCATTTCTCCTCAATATCCAGGATAGATCCCATTCAACTGAATTGTTTAGTTATAGTTCTTACATCAACCATTGGATTTCTGGCCAGAGTAATAGAATACCTCAGGTACTGTATTTTACTCTTATTTTATTCCTTAGCTGCCTTGTATTCATTTTTCCCCCTGTTTTTATGCGTTTCACTTGTCTACTGTTGTTGACTCAACCATAAGCTCTGAGCAGATTGTGCTCTCCTTTGCTTTTGTCATTCAAGCTCTTCTAAGCCCTCTTTATACTATAGCTGTGAATTCCCATTTGTTGGAAACTTATAGTAGTTTTGCTGCAAATGCCCACATTGAATGGCACAGAGTGATTTACCGCAATGTTAGTTTCAAGTAAATGCTTCTTCCTCGGGGAAGTGGATTTGATCTGTGCTGGGAAAGGAGGGACTTTATATTGCTGCAAATGGCTGATGTCAATCTGCTGCGTGTTACGGTGTGTACATGCACTGGACTCATAACCTAACACTTGTCCATCACATGGTGTGTGATGGTGGGTGACTTCAACACTGGAAGATCTTCCTTACTCCAACCAAATGTGGGATCATGAGCAAGTTATAGCTCCGGTCTGTGATGAGCTGTTTGTGTAGTGAGTGGCTGCTTGAGAAGTGCAGTTTGTGCTCCCTTGATGGCCTACTTGGACAAAGGCACTGCCCAGTAAACACTATAACATACAGATCAGAAGGTGCTGGGATCAAATCTCATCTGTGTTTAAGTAGATGATCTCAGCCAGGACACTGGACAAGCACTATAATTGGCATCTACTTCCTTGGGCTAGGAAGTGGGGAAAAAAATCAGACAGGATTCTTGCTCCTGATTGTAACCCAGTGATATCTAGCAAGGACTTGATCAGGTTCGGCCATTGTAGCCGTCATTCATTCTCTGGGCTCACCCATGGAGAATGGACACACAGCAGTAACGCTGAGGGTGGCTGGTCCCTATAGAGCTGAAGTCCAGAACAATTTGGTCACCTGTAGGAGAGGAGACGAGGAGAGGGCAGGGAAGAAAGTAACAAAGCGTGCAGTGATAATCCGTTTGTGCAAACATCTTGTAAACACGTTAGGTAGACCTGCCTTCTGAGATTTTCTAATAACAACCTATGAGTTTCTTCAAGCTGAGAGACTGAACAAAATTCATCTCTGACTATTGTCACTAGTACTGGTGCAAAACAAATTTCATTCCGGAGCAAAACAAAGTGTTCCAATTCTTTGCAGCAACACTGTTCTGAGCATTACCAGATGACTGTGTTCTGACACTCAAGTCTGTTTGTTTTCCTAGCTATTGGTTGAGACAAAATACGCACCAACTGCACAAGACCATATTAATAATAATAATCCTCACATTTGATATAGTGGCTCATCACGTGTATTCTATTATCACTTTATACCATATTCTCTCTCACCACCACCACTCTCTCGACCAAAAGAGAATAGCAGAAGACTGCAGTGTTGCAGTCAGGAAGTCCTGCCTTGTCGGGCAGAATAAAGCTACTCATTTCATTCTCTTGCTTTTTGTACAGAAAGAAAAGGGTCTGATAGCCAGAGACTTCAACGTCTCTGCCAAAGCTGACTGGAATGTTCCCTCATGGAGGCTTTCCCCTGGGGTTCAGCCCATCTTCGTCAGTGGCAGTGTTAAATTCAGCCTTGTGACCGACACCAGGGGATGGAACAGGGTTTTTACACCACATACTATTATGCCAGTGTTAACAAGGGGTGTAGGCTGGTAAGCACTCTCCTCCCCCACCCCCACCTCTGTTTTGACTGCAAAGACCACATTATGGATCTCTTATCAGGCAAAACTCAGGCTGTGGCAAAGTAGCAGCTGATGTTAATCTGCTGTCATTTGTTTAACAGTCATAGAGAAGTAATGTGGAAACATTCACTTCTATCTGCTGCTCACATACCAAGTAGCTCGCAGACCAAGGGACTCACATACACACTGGAGTAAACCAGCCTGGGAAAGTGTTTGAAACCACGGGTCCTGTTCTATTTAGATGTGCTGCTTATATACTGTAAGAACCAGGGACAGGATAAGCAGAAAAGCCAAGCTCTGATTGTGGCCAGGGCAGGAGTTGTAATGTAAAGAAGATCAAAGCAAGCTTTTGAAATAAACACTTTCTGATAGCTGTCAGGACGACCACTTTGACTATCTGACATGATATATCAATCAAGTATGAAATTAAATGGGTGAGTCAGATTTTGCAAATTTATGTTGAAATTTTCGCAAGAAGACGGAGCTCTGAAAATGCCTAAATGGGAAACCCACTTCTAATGAAGTGAAGTGCAAGTGGGGCGAATGAGGTTTTAATTATCTGCAGCACTTTGAGCTAGACGTAACCTGTCACGTTCTCTCTAAACGTCTCCCAGTTCTTAATGCAGTCTGTTCCCATCGTTCATTTTGTGTTAAAGTAAATGGATTTTAAATCCATTTTTTTATATTGTAGTTTTTATTGCTGTAGCGTTACTTACTTTTAAAATCAATCTCACTCACATGGCTTCATTGGGAAATGTTTTGACAATCTGTCCTCTGGTCTCCACACCACTGTTGCTGTGATCATTCTGGTTAATAAGCAGTTTAAATTGGTTTAAGATTACTGAACGTTACAGTGCAGCAATAATGACGTACACATATAGAGCCTTACACATAAGACAATGGCTTGCATATTTTAGAGATGGAGTAGAAACCCGAGGCAGGTGGGAGGTTGGGAGGGGGATTTGATCAGAGGTGCTGTCAAAACAAGTAGGTTGTTCAAAGGGTTTCATAAACGGAAAGGGAAGGTGCGTGAAGAAGAAGCTTAGAGAAAGAGTTCCAGAGAATGAGTGCAAGGTGCAGAAAGGTAGCCTGCCAATGGGTGGGTGGGTAGGGCAGCAAGCAACCTCTTTGTGCAGCAGGTGGATTGGGGGGAGTAGAAGTTGAGGTAGGGTGGGGCAAGAGTGTGAAGATCAAAGCGAGGATCTTGAAATCAATATGCTGAGGAATAGGAAGCTGGTAGAGCCTGTTGAGGATGGGGTGGTGGGCTCCCAGAGCACAGCTCTGGAGACGACACTAGCTGCAGATTTGTGGATAAGCAAGGCATTATAGTGCTAGTCATTATAGTACCAGGCAGATTGATGTGAAACTCGTTCTTTTGGTACTGTCAAGGCCTGAAGTATGTCAACAGAAAAAGTCCATTTGAGCACACAGACAGCAGAGCATCGTGCATTACAGTAAAACACTCAGTTTAATTTATTTATTTACAATTTACAATGCTGATCTGTGTAACACTCCACTTAGTGCAGGTAGCTGTGCTGTAGGACTATCAGACAGCTGAGTGCTTTACTGGAATACTTTGAGTGATTCTCTTCCATCCAAGTGTCCTACCAGCTTGAACATTTGTTTGTGGGCCAATGAATCCTTGTCACAAAGTTTAGGGTTGCACTGCACTGTGGTGCTGCAGATTGTGAGCTGTACCACTAGAGGCCCCCAGTGAACTATATAAGCAATACAGCTCTTTCCACCCTAATCGGAACTGTTCCAATAATCATCTCAGTTTAT